GGAGAATTTTTTAGTCGGAAGGGTAAACGGAGAAATTCAAAATGACCATTTTCAACTGAAAATGCAGTTTTAGCAACGTCCTTGGGATCAATTTCAATTTGGTGAAACCCAGAGGCTAGGTCCAAAGTAGTGAAATATTGACATCTGCCTAACTGGTCTAAGAGATCGGAAATATTGGGAAGAGGGTATCTATCGTCGACAGAGACTTCATTTAGTTTGCGATAGTCGATGACTACGCGCCATTTTTGTTTCATAGAAGCGTCTAATTTTTTTGGGACAACCCAAAAAGGGGAAGACCATGGAGAAGTGGAAGGTCGAATGATTCCTTGTTCGAGCATTTTGTTGATTTGTGACTTTACTTCTTTTTTGTGGACATGTGGGTACCTATATGATTTTGAAAAAATCGGTCTGGCGCTATTCGTTTCAATAGTATGTTTAATTTCATTGGTAAAACTTAAATGATCTCCTTCTAAATAGAATATATCAGAAAAATCAAGACATAGTTGTGTTATTAATTCTTTTTCTTCTTCGTTTAAATGGTCGGTGCGTAACTGGGATTGAATTTTACCGCGCCTATCAACAGGTTGAGAGTTTAGATTGAAAATATTATTTATTTCTTTTTCGTTAAGATTTGTATTAAAAGGTTCGATAGATAAATTTGAAAAATCTATAGTTTTTGGGATAGCATTAGCGTTAATAACAGTAGTAAAAAATTCACCTTTGTTATTTACTTTAACTAAAGCATTAGGTAACCTAACTTTTTCGCATTCTTGAGAGTGGAGAAAAGCGTCTGTGTTTGTTAAACTACATTTTAATTTGAAAATTCTTTCGGTCCTAGGTTCGATTGAAATTCGATTTTGAATATTTTGTTCAGGTTCTTTACAAATTTTGGGAAGAACAGATTCGTGTCCTACTTTATGTAAAGGCATTGTTTTGAAATTCGTTATAAGTTTTTTGGACTTTAAATCGATTATACATTGGTAGTGATCAAGAAAATCTAAACCGAGAATTCCGTCAAATTCGATATCAAGATCGTAAAGATATACTTTATGTTTGTCGTTATCGGTGAATGGAATAAGTGTGGATTCTTTAATAGAAAGTGTTTGGTTTGTTATACCTTGGATGGTAATATTTTCCTTAACTCGTGTTCTGTAATTTTCAGCGGTTTTATATTTAAAGATAGAAATACCTGCGCCTGTATCTATTAATATTTTGAATTTTTGCGTAGCGTCAAAAATATAGTATAAATTTTTAGAATTTACCGTAAGAAGAGGGTTTAACAGAAGTTCTGTTCTGGAAAGTTTAGATTGGGATTCATGTTGTCTAAATTCAGGGTTTGAATTTGGGAATTGATTTCGAAAATCGGGTCTGGAGACATTTCGTCTGGTGGGATATCGTAAGGGCTTTCTTGAAAATCCTGCTCTGGTTCGCAGTTTTCTGGATGGTTAGAATAATGATTTTGAAGTTCATTATCTTCTTGAAGAGTGTAATTTTCATGTGAAAATTCCTGGGAATTTCCGGAATAACCGTCGATATAGATCGGGTTTGAGTTTACATGATGGGTTCGCTGCGGGTTTGGATTCATAAAATGTGGCTTAGGATAAGAGTTTGAAGATTTCATCGGTATTTGATTCGAGTTGTTGCTAATGTTGCTTTGTTGGAACCAATTAGAAGGTCGCTGTGGATATTGCGAAAAATTTGGTTTGACATGCTGATGCGTACTTCTACATTGATTTGAAGTATGGCCAATTTTATTACACAAAGTGCATTTGGGTTGCTGAAGAGAGGTTCGAATATTCGCAGAATGCGATTTAGGAGAATTTAATTTGACAGATTTTTGATTTTCAAAATATGAGAGTTGGAGTTCTCGACGAATCCTTGCTTGGGCTTCTAAAAGTGAAGTGGGATTACTAGCACGAATGAGTTGACCTAATCTAGGTTCTAAACCTGTAAGAAGTGTATTAAGGGTCATAGTCTCAATTAAAGATATCTGAGCATCCTTTTGCTCTTTGGATCCTAATGTGGTGGATTTTTGAACACATGAATGCATTTTCGCATTTAGGACTTGAAGACGATTGAAAAATGTTAATGCTGATTCATTGGGCAATTGTTTAAGACGTTGAAGGTCATGAATTAGGGAAGGTAAATCTCTAGAATCACCAAAGTGTAGAGTTAATAGTTTAGAATTAATTAATTGAGCTGCTTTACCGCGGAGCTTATTTTTAATGTGAATCCCTAAAAGAATTTTTTGTTGCGTTGTTGCCATATTATAAGCACAATCACACGCGTTTATAAAATTTCTTAAAAAGATTTGGTCGCCCTCAAATTCAGGTACGATACAGAAAATTTCCGAAAGTTTATATGATTCAACTTCCAGCATTGTACTAGGTTCGTCTGATTGAGTTGCCATTATTTTAGGTTTTAAGAAAAAGCAAATAAATTTATAAGAAGTTCAAACACAATTATTATTTGTTTTAAATATTGCCAAGTTAAACTTGGAGACTAAGATTTAATCAAAATAATTATCGCGGAACGATTCTACGTTGGGAAATTCAATAAATAGGTAATTTTCAACCTTGGGTAATCGAACTTAATAAATTCAACAATGTTGCAAATTAAAAATAAAATTATTCGTAACGATTCTTAACACTTACAGTACTATTTTCATTGCTGCCTTTCGAGACGGTTGATGGGTTTATCCTTGTTCCGGTACGATGGGCTGTCTTCGTTGTTCCCTAGATTTAGGGGTCGGAATCTGCCGCCACTAGTTAGAATACTCGTGTTCTAGCAACGTGAACAGATCCTACTCCGAATTCTTGCCTCTCGAAAGGGTGATGGAAGGTTCCTTGTTCCGGCACGATTGGGCTGCGATGGTTCTTCTTTCCGTCTAAGGGATTGGAATCCGCCGTCACTAGTTAGAATACTCGTGTTCTAGCAACGTGAACGGATCCTACCGACTGCGCCAATTTTTATATTTCACTTTTCAAAAATAACTTTTTAAAAAATATATTTATTAAATTTAAATTAAAATAAAAATCAAAATGAAATTGGACGTAATAACCTCGTGACGAGAGAATGTTATTAGACCGTTAAAATACAAGTAAAAATGGACATAATAACCTCGTGATGAGAGAATGTTATCAGACCACGTTTTACAATAGAAATTAGTATTTATAATAAATTTATGCTGATGTTGACACGACGTTTTCGCAATCGTTGCACTCTTGCAGGTCGGTGGCATTTAACCCATGTAGACAATAGGATATATAGGATAGGATAGGATAGGATATATATATATATATATATATATATATATATATATATATATATATATATATATATATATATATATATATATATATATATATATATATATATATATATATATATATATATATATATATATATATATATATATTGATTGATTTTTTGATTTTGATTGATTGATGATTGATTGATTTTGATTTTTGATTGATCAAAATCAATCAATGAAATTTCACGGCAATTTTACTAAATGATGTCGAAGGAAAATGCCGGCAAGGTTTTGCTTGTCCAAAAATAATTGGGCGGCTGCTACCCGAGAAGTTCTCTTTACGGGCGTTGACGTGATAACCAAAGTTGTTTTATTATTCGGAGAACATTATCATGATAATGTGACAAAACTTAATGTTTGAAGCATTTATTTACAAACAGTAAAATCGATTTTTTTTTACTAAATGAAGAAAATAATATATTGTTTGTTTGATAAAAATATGTCAGTATGAAAACTTCAATAAAAATGCAGAAACATGGTGTTCTTCCGTTGGATGGCAGTAATATTGTGATTAAAATTCACGGATCATTTTTTTATGACCGCAACCGACAAATCTGCGGGGAGTCCGATACCGACCATTCTAGCCACGACGTAATTTCGATTTCTCCTTTCCACGTCGATCTAATTACTCTCCGAAATTAAATTACCACGCGGCAATGAAATATCAGTGTCGCGACGACGCTACACCGAATCGCATGCCTATACACCGACTGATATTCGACAAAGCAATTTTCCCGCTTCATAAAATTTTAACGTCGAAATTTCCGCACCGATGTCGACGTCGTATCAAAATTATACCCATTTTTGGAGGCTCGCGTGGAACGCGTTTTGCAAAGTGACTTTGCATCAAAAACAATAGACCGATCCTAATTACATATCCCGTCACTTGACGCCCGAATCCTGGAAAATGTATGTCGCGAAACCCGACAAAGGGATCCGACAAAGACACGGGATTGGAGACGGCTTGTCATGTTTCCAGCCTTGGTTCCACTTCGTCGCGTTTAGCCTATCTGACAGTCGCATGCACGTCGCTTAAATAAGAGACGCATTTAATTTTGCATGGTTATTTTTGCGTTGCGACTTTAGGGATACAAATTTGAATTTGATACGTCAACGTGAGTATTTAAATGAGAAATGGGAATGCCTCTTTATTACCCCAGAGCCCCCGCGGTCTACGAACCTTAGATGTAGAAAGATAAACGATTTTGGCTTATTAAATACTGATTCTGCCTGTCCCCTCATGTAGAGATTGCCAACAAGCATTGCTAAACACAAAATCTTTTTAATGACATCAGATTAGATTCAGGTCAGGTGTTTTCGGAGCGCGAGCATTGAAGATGCCAAGTGAGATACTGGCGAAACGTCTGCAGGATTCCAGTCGGAGTTCAACAAACGAACGAATGTTATCCCGGAATATATATATATATATATATATATATATATATATATATATATATATATATATATATATATATATATATATATATATATATATATATATATATATATATATATATATATATATATATTCTCACGTATTGATTCACGGATGGAAAAATGTGATGACACTATATTCCGGGATATCATCCGTTCGCTCGTTGAACTCCGACTGGAATCCTGCATCCGAATAAATTTGACGCAACGCAAATTTTATTCGGTTGGTCCAAGTCTGTCTGTTGGTCTTGTTTGTAAATTAACTCTAATAGTAAATTTGGATAGTACAACTCCTTCGAATACATTATATATATTTATAATTTTCATTTTTTCATTAGGTAAAGCCATAAAACAAAAATTTTCACGAAGACCAAAAAAATGTTGTTCATTTACAGATATGCTATATGATAGCAACATAAAATATAATAAATATATATTACGGTAGGTGTTAAAAAGTAAAAAAAAACTATTGATAATTTCGGAGAGTTAATTAATAATAACTGAACCTGTTTTATGTTACAGACAAAAAAATTTGAAAACTTAAAAAGAATATATGAAGTCGGTGTCTTCTAAGTTGTCCTCGGTATTTTCCCAGTGTTAGTGCCTAATATGATTCAAAGCATCCTGCCAAACTATTCGAACTTGCTCGGATTTAAGACCATCACTTCACTATTTTTCGAAATATGATATTACCCTAGCCGGTGTCCACGCAAAATTTGACATACGATATGCATTTTTGGTTTTTTAATGTATTTTGAATTAGAAAGTTCCGATCTCGGAGTATTTGGTATCAGTTTTTCATTTAACTATTTTTCAGATATTTCAGAGTTCATGTTCTCGTGATAATCGAAACTATTTTAGTGGAAGAAAAAATTAAACTGGCACCGAGAATAAATCCTGTTGAGCCACCACCCTTTTCCAGTGCCGTCCAATTTTTTCAAACTTCATTTTTTACAGACTCATCTTGCCAAGACTTTGAACCACTTCCATTGGGGAATCTCCACTATTTTAAATTTTGATATCTAATCTTCACTATATTTGTTTAAAAATTGAAGACGCCGATTCACTTTCTGGGACTGCTCTACGTTTCTTTTTTAGGTTATTGCAAAACTGGAAGAGTTACATTTGTTTTTAATTTATGTAAATCATAAATCACGTTCGGAACTTTTATTTTCAAATCTTTCCGCAAATCTCTGTCTTTCTTTCACTTTTTAGTCTTCTCCGGTATTTTTTTTCCATGCACAATTTTCTGGAGAGCCTTTAAACTGATTCCCTGTCTTTCACTTTCGCTGCTATATCCTGGATATTATTGATTGACGATTTTCTACCTTCTCTTTCATTTTCAAAATATTTTATTGAATTTTAAGTTTAAAATTTATTATTCATTTTACCACTTAACATTTTCAAAGTCTCAAAACTGACAGCTGTAAATCAAAACTTTTTAGAACCGGTAAAAATTATAAGCTTATCCTTTGTTGTACGTGCTGTTGGTATACTGTTGGTCTGTTTTACTTATCTTACGAATTTTATTTGGAGGCTACAATTTTACAAGATTAAAAAAAATAAACAGGAAAGTTTGTCGTTGATAAATCGTAAGACCCACACGATAAGACCAGTTTTGACTATAAACTAAATTGGTTTATTTTCCCTATCTCGATCTAGTTCACTGCTATCGATATTAAAAGAACTTGTTTGTATCTATCTCTTTTTATATTTCCATACTATCAAACCTAATTCATTTTTTAATCTTTCTGTTTCATTGCATTGAAAAGTTGATGTTGAGGCAGTTTATAAACCCTTTTTCTCTTCACCTGAACTGTTTTTTTGCAATCATATTACAATGACCTTGATGTGACAAATAATAAAAGAAATTCTAAACCTGATTTGGTCAATTTGATTTTTATTACTTCGCGTCGACGATTTGATAACATTACTATTTGCTTCCTGGTGACATCACGGATAGATAGGAATAGGCCAATTTAAAACGCTAAAATAAATATTTAGAGGGTAATGTTACAATCAGCAATGAGAAAGTAAGAAGAAAGCTTACTGATAAAACGGCATTTGTGGTCATTGCGCCAAAAGGACCAATAGATATCGTTAGAGGTTTCTGACATCTCAACATAATAATGCGAACTAGGACTTTGGTACGCTGGTTTTGGTCGTACCAGTTGCTGTTGTATAGTGCTGAAGCTAGGTTTTCACTCTAAAATGTTTAGAAGTATAAAACTAAAAATTTCGAATAATGGTTGACACTTACCTGAATTAGTATCTCGTTGGCATTCCAAGCTAAAGCCATCAATTGACAAGACACCAAAACAAAATAAATTGAGTTAAAAATCACCCTAATGCCCTACGAAGGAAAATATAGTAAATAAAGTAATGATAAAAATGTTCTTACAGCAAAAATTTGAAAGATTACTGCTGCCAACAACAGGGAAGCCACACCGTACTCCAAAAAAATCAGTTTCTGGAAGGTTGAGTTCAGGTCCTCTGTCCATCTAAAATGTCTTAATTTTCAAAAAATGTGCCACTTTCTTTGAATCTTCACTAACAAATGTTGTATATGTTATAATATCAACTGGTATAATTATAGGTATAATATCTGAATTTAAAGTTAAATTGTGATTTTAGAAATTATTTTCAATATTTTTTTATTAAGCAGTGTCAAACAAATGACATAAATAAAATAAATAAATAAAAATTTTAATTTATAAAACAGCTAAATCAACTTTAATTAGGGGTTCCCTAATTTAAGGGTAGGATATATTTCACCAAGAATAACTCTCGGCTGTCTCTCTGAAAACACGCCTCTTTTGTTGCGAATAAGGAAATAGTTTTTTTTACAAAATTTTGCGAAGGGGAGAGATTGTTTTTGCTTGAATCGTTTTGCTCTAACTGTTAAAATAATGTGCTGTAGTGTAGATCTATTTATGTTGGGTTGTCGGAATAAAACGAGCTTGATCTCGTATAAAAGAGTGTGCATTACGCTGTTTTAAATGTTATTAATAATAGCAATATGCATTTGACAGTATTTCGATTTCGCGTTGTTCAAAAAATTGAAACCCAAAAAATACGAGAAACAAATAATTAGTTTATTTTGGCATCGATAGTATTACCATAGTACCATATGTGTAGGTAATAAGACGTCAGGATAGGCAGGCTGTGGAAAAAATGAACTTCAAACGCCAAAGTATTAGTAGATCGATATTTGCCAATGCAGAAATTGCTGCAAGGGTTTCTGCAGTACCCAAATTCAAAACATTCAAAACTTTTTTCCAACGCTTATCCGTTCTGCCATTTTAGTTATTACATATTAAGCCACATGGCTATAGGGAATTTTGGTATTATCATTGATATCAATAGTATATTATGCAGTACGTGCGGCAAACGGCATTTGAGTCTCGAGTTTATTTGGCACAAGCGGAGCGAGTGTATAATAATAATAAACGAGCTCCTTAAAAAGTTTACCAAACGCGTTGCATACTATACTTTTTCTACGACCATTGGTGTCTGGGTACATTTTTGCAAAACCACACGAATACATTCACTGACCACTGACCGCCAGAATTGACAAACGTCAAAATTCAAGTCGTGGGGTAAATTCTCCGAAAACATCCGATTGCTCCCAAACCCAAAATGGTCCTAGCATGCAGAACGAACGACATATTAAATTTTTTATGAAGCATTATTTGGAATATGTAGTTCCCTTTCAACCAGATTTAGTTCTTTTAATTCTAATAACCTATCCCGCATCATTTTCCCTTCCCCCACTACTTAATTTTGCAGATAGGGAAAATGCTATAAAAAAAAACGAAATTTTGCTGGGGATTCTAGCGATTAGAAAATGCTTTCTAGCAGTACTTTTTCTTTCCGTACTATTACTTCTTCCGGATAAATAGCCGAGAACTTAGTGGGACAATCGGTAAAAATGTTTAAGCCAACCATGTGTACCTACATAATCAGTCTTTGATGTTGTCTGCCGAACATCTTCAACAAATAGAGAGAAACATTTTCTCCGTCGAATATATCTGGTTTAATCCTATAATTCCCAAAATGTTTAAAGCAGTACTGCAGAATTTTCAATTCGGCCCTTAAATAGATCATCATGGAGTTGGTAAATGCATTTACGGAAACCGTATAGAGGCCGGTTAAGCAAATTTCAAGCGTCTGATGACACAGCACAAATATGAAGTGTTGGTTCCGATCGAATGGGTACCAAAGGGCAACAGGAAAAGCCGCTTCCACAGATCCGTTGAAATCTTGGTGTGTCTTGTGAAATTCATACGCCTCTGATATTCCTGCAATTTGAAAATTATAAATTTATTTTTGCATATAAAAAATATATTTTCTGAACTTGGCACATTTATTTGAGTTGTTTATATTGTGCATTTAATTTAATTTTATATTAGATCTCTTCTTAGATGATGCGGTGAGAAGTGTAGATGGCGTTAATTTTAAGTTTGTTTTAGGTAACATATTTACGTTTCCATGGTGTCAAAGATTATATTACTTTGCAAGCTTATTAGATAGAAGAGTATACTAACCTTTAGCACACTGAATCTCGCTAAATTTGTCAAAATGTATTGTCAGATTTTTTATAATTCAAACAAAGACCATTATTAATATTATTATTATTATTATTATTATTAATATATTATATATTTTGTGTAATTAGAATAAAATTAATTAGTTCAGTAGTGTTCCAAGGGGTGAGGTAAAATCATAAATTGATGTTTTGGAGATTTTTTTTTTTTCTAAATAAATCAAGAATGAAAGTTTTTTCATTTTTAGTGTCCACCTTTGCTTTAAAGAACAAAATCATCCTTTTTAATTATTATATTGAAACATTAAGCAAGGGGTGCATAATTTGATGATGGCAATTTACTCACCGATTTCTGACAGATATACTGCCAACATAAAAGTAGCAACTGCCATAGCCAAAATTAACATTTTGAAGTACCATGCGTGAGTGCTGTATATGTTAATAATCGTTTTACTGTTTGATGTGAAGATTTTACGTTCTCCTTCCAAGGCTTTCCTAAGCAGCGTTTTCATCTCGGTCGTCTGGCAAATCGAAAACTTCACAATCAACAGGAGCACGAATATCATCCTGGATAGATTTTCTATGGCTTAAACCATAACTTATTATCAACCAAACAAAATTTAGTGTTAATATTAGAACTATGAATATATTTTCACTTAAACCAAAGACCTAAGCATTTTAATCACTAACCAAAAGCGTGAGTGAGACATTGGGCATTTTTTCTACCGAGTATTCACAGAAATTAATATTTCTGATAGTTTAAATTTAATAAAACTGCAATTATCTGTAAAAATAAAGTAACATGGCGAACACAGTCGTGATTTTGTGGCCAAAGGGTTTTTTAAATAATTCAATTTTCAGCAATATCAAGCTCAAAGTCATTAGAAAATTCTCAATGCTCACTTTGCAAGGATAATTACCTTGATCGGTGTGTACCCCATACAGCTTAATGAATTCCATGTTAAACATTATAATGGATGTATCAAAAATTATTTGAGTGACAATGGAATACAAAAAGTATAATTTTTTAATCATAGAATTTGCCTTTGGTATTTCTAGCCTCCATATGCCGCTGGCTATCATAGCCCAACGTGTAACTTCAAAGAGTTCTTTCGTCTCAGTCATTGTCTGAAGTCGTCAGTGCTGGGTTGGCGCAGCCATTTTAACCTGCCAATAAGTACATGTTGAGCTGAAAGGGGCGTCATGTCGTCTTTATTGCGGTTACCATGTTCCTTTTGCGACCATGGGCGTATCGAATAGTTTTTTTGGTAATTACTTAGGTATTGGCGGGTCGCATTTCGTTGTGTTAGTCTGACAAATTAATAAATTAATTAATAATTGAAAATTAATTGATAGGTAAATAAATTAATTGATAAAGAGCAGCATCTTCTTAACGTAATTATAAATAATCGTCAATTTTTTTAAAATTTATTATGAATTAATTTTTATAAAGCCGTTAATGAGTAAGATTCGATTAGTGGCTTATAATTTTGAGGATTTTTTCTATATTTCTATATATATTTCTATATATGGCATTTTTGAGAAATTTGCCGCCGTCGCTGTAGACGGGATTAATAATTTACTCGATTCTACCATAAGTCCTTTTATTATCTCCATTATATGTTTGCATACATGGTAATATGCATAAAAGAACACGTACGGCGTAACTTGCCATATCATTTTCATCACATGTTTTTCAAATAAAACGTTACATACAGTATAAAATAAATTTCGCGCGAAGTCGCTTCTCAATTTGAAAGAATACATTAAGAAACGATTGCTTGACATAAATAAAAGTTTAATTCGGGTGTCCATAGACTATTAGTGTTTTTTGTTATTTCTAGTGTTGTTGGTTGAAAATAAGAATTTCAAAATTTTAAAACGTGCTGGTAGACCGTATTTGATTATAGAGTTTTTCTAGAAAGTATAGTTTCCAATCGTTCTGCGGCATTTAAAAATAATTTGTAAAGGGCAGACTTCGCCTATAATGTCTTTGGGATAAACCAACCTGTAGCACCGCATAGCACGTTAGTAGAACAAACGTATACCTAATATTTGGTAAAAATTTTTGTAAATAATTAAAAATTAGCTTTTTTAAATATTGTTCTAAGACGACCAAGAACTGGAATTTTTAAAGCACACGATAAACCCTCAATAAACCGAGCAAAAATCAAAAAAGCCTATCTACAGTACAGGGAGGTATTTTTATTTTAGTAGTGTGGAAACCTTAGAAATTTTAAAATCGTTTGCGCCTTGTTAATAATAATGCTGCAGTCAGTATTTGTTGTGTTTAGATCGTGGCTTGTAGAAAATTTCGACGGAATGGAAAAGAATAACGCACCAAAAAGGAAGTGTCATTTGAATATGCGCAGCAAGATAATGGTTTTACGAATATGTGAAGGTAAAATTTATATAATACTTATATTTTTATCTTTATTATCGGCCAATTGCACATACCGTTTCTAGGTATTTAAATTAAAATAAAACATTATTGGGGGAATGAAGACAAACAGATTTAACTTAAATTCATTTACTGTATTTACTCATATTTACTCGAGACTTTGACACCGGTGACACTACAAAGAAAGGCCGACAACATTCATCAAATTGAGTTTTGAATGTACCTGCATCAAAAGGAGAAAGAATATCCATTTTGCACTGTGGTGGTGGTAGATATTGTAAGATCTCCTTAGTCAGCATGACCTTTACTTTGAAGACACTTATAAAAAAAAAACAACTAGTTGAAGTTTTAAGAGCCAAATCGTTTGATTAAGCTTAATTTCTAGATGAGATCATAATAAAATCTGGTAATATGCCCCTTAGATTACTACCTTACTACTGTAACTTTAATTCTATAGAAATGGGCCGAATTAATAAACAAAGTTAGATGCAATAACATGTACTTAGATGTACTTGGATATTCTTGGATGTATTTGACACAGATTTAAACTATTCTGATGAATAATTTTATTTAATATGAATTTTTTATTTATATAATTACAATTATACATTACGCAATACAACAGGATGTATTGATATTTTATCTGTTTCAAGTTCCTTACTACTACCCTGGACGGGTTTAATTGATTGGCACAACAAAAACCTACGGGAGGATAAAAACGTTTATAGCAATATTTCAGTCATGACTATTAATCGTGTGTCGAATATACCACAAAGACTTGTGCCCAAAAGGCTATCTAATAATCAAATTACGTTATCAAGAGTATGACAGATTACGAATATAAACATACTGTGTGAAAATACTGTAAGTCAATTTTGGTTAATTTTTTAATTTTGGCCAAAAATGCACAATTCCTAGAGTGATATAGTTTTAAATTTGTGCCCAAAAAAAAAATGGGCCCTTATATTTAAAATTCTTGAAATGTTAATGGGCCACCCATTCTCAAACAAAACAACAAATTGGTAAAGGCTTTCGCTAACACGAGTGGCAAGCTTCTCCAGAGATCCTTCCATCTTCGATATTGGACATAGTAGTTTACTACTTTACTATATTTATTTTCACGAACCGGCGTCCACATTCTAGATAGCACTACGACTTCAACTGTTTAAAAGATACTATGTGCCGCTAGAACGTTTTAAAATAATTGTTTCCCACATAGATGAAAGGTAAAAAATTGAGTTGAGGTTGTCTGATTCTTGACCATGAGGTCAAATAACAAAATTATCATCAATGTCGCGTTTCCATAATTTTGGTTCTAGATGGAAGGGCTTTCCTCTCAAAGGCTTCCATAAATATATTTACCATGATCGGTGATAATGGATAACCCATAGCTGTTTCTGACGTTTCTAAATAAATTTGCCCGTTAAACATTTTTCATTTAAGATGAGAAGGTTTGCTTCCAGATTCTCTGATTTTGATATATCTGATATAATGTTGAGAATTTCAGGAATAGGTACTTCAGAAACTAAGCAGACTATTCTGTGGATCTAAGGGTTAGAATATTTTTTAATCGTTCAAGGAAATGAAAGGAATTATGTACGAAGCTACCAGTTTTCCCTGTAAAGGGTTTTATTATAGCAGCTAGATATTTTGCTAGAGAATATCTTGGAGAACCAATGTTGCTGGCAATAGGTCGAAGGGGTAATCCTGGTTTGTGAATTTTAGTGAGTCCCTAGAGAAGAGGAATTTTAGAGTCATGAGCGGTGACAGACTTTTTCACGGATTCTGATAGAGAGGAAGCCATATTGGTATTGGTATTGGTATTAAAGGGGGGCGCCCTCGCGGGCGTCCAAGCACTTAGGCCACCAGATGGGCCCGTTGTGCCCCCAGGCCGCTCTAGACGGCGTCCAGAATGCCGCCCCTCCTGTAGAAGGTCAGCAACTCCTTTAGCCCAATACCGTGTACTGAGTCCGGATCGATCAGGGCCGTTCCGAAGACTCCCAATCTTGCCCATGTCAAGGCAGGGCACTCGGTGAGCAGATGATACGGGGTCTCCTCCCCTTCCATGCACCACCTACACTCCGGGTCGTCTCCAATGCCTAGGAAGCAAAGATGCCTCCTAAGCCTGCAATGTCCTGTGTAGGCCCCTGTTAGTGATCTACACTCCCTTCTGGTCAGTCTAAGCAGCTCCCTGGTCGGAGGAACGGCGGGCCCATCCATCATAAGCCTCGCCTGCCTCATTCCCGGAGCAACTCTCCAGCCCCCCGCGGCCCGGTCTCTCGCCCAGGCTTCGAGAGCTCCCCGCCTCACACACGCGGCGATCCCCAAGCGGGGCTCTGGTCCCATATGCCTCGGCGAGGAGCCCTCCCTGGCTAAAACGTCCGCTGCCTCATTGCCCCGGTACCGGTGTGACCCGGGACCTTCCTCTCTTCAGCCACTCTCCCGAAAGCAGGCTTACGAGTAGTTGCGATTTGTCTAATATTTGGCAGCCAAGTGTTCAATTTGGGGTTATTTCTTAAGAAAAAAACTTTTTTTCTATTCATACTCTAAAATACCCACTGATCAGACTTATCGCAGGTTGGGAGCGATTAAAAGAGTGTATTTTGAGATTGGTCATTTCCATTATTCTGCCATGGTGGTCAATGTATTCACGATATTTTTCAAAACGTAGGCATACTCCGTCAGAGCAGTTACGTAGTTGTGTCACCTATAGTGACGTAATCAAAGATGATCCGCATATCTTAGCTATATTACTACCATTTTTAGATGAGTTCCGATTTTAATTAGTTCATAAGTTTAAAGTAGGCACGTTCGGATATGCAATCCTAATAACTAAATTTATTTTTTTTTGTAATGGTTTTTGCAAAGTGTACGTTAGTCATCTTGTTATAAATGGTAGAACCTACTAGAAACATGGCCATTTAAGGTTGTGTAGGTGTGACGTAGGATCTTTTATAAGTTGATGATGGGATCCGTCTGTAAGAATATTTTAAATTTTTTTCTGATATTCACTTGTATTCATGACCACCGTAGGATTTTTTTAACTACTTTTAGAATTACGATGTTGAGATTAGATATTAGAAATTTTAGAACAATACGTTCAGGCTTTGGAATATTAGATTTAGGAGGTTTTCGTTAGCTGATGGCAGTTTATTCAGGATAGACTCGATATTTGAAATGATTTCCCTTTTTGGGACAACACGTGTGGCAAGGACCACGTTGGAACCTTTGCAAGTACTGATTTTTTCGTCTCAGAAAGTTGGTGCCATGATACATTACCATAGTATTTGGTAGTTGAGAAGAGTTTGATAATTTTACTAGTGTTTACAGCATTCCATGCATATGCGGCAAAGAATGTATTGGAGAGACAGCACAAAAAATAACAACTAGGCTCAAGAGCCTTAAGACTACAACAAATATACTCATCTGCATTTGCCGAATTCTTTTAGTAACAAAAAATCCGAGACCCTATAAGCAACGTTCGTGACCCTCTTTCAGCTCAGCTCCAACAATATATAAGCATAGACAGAGTAGAATACGAGCCAGTTTCAGTTAAACTCTGAAAAAGCCAACAGGATGATTGACGAAATGTCAGCAAGTTCGATTCATCAACAATAGACGCAAGAGGAAACCAGCAGATTTGCAGATAGTATTACAGTAGCCTGTTCTTTGAAAAATATGTATAGAGTTGTTGAATATTTTAGTTGGTGTGTAAGTGTTTAATAAATAAATAAATCAACTGTGGTGCTTTATTAAGATCGACTTCCTTTGTGTCAAAAGAAACGCGAAATTGTGCTTCGATTTACAATTTTAAAAATACATATTATGCAACAACTGTGAAGCTTTTTCGGTCACTCATTTAATGAACACTAGCTGGGCTGCGCTCCGCTCGATCAAACTCAAACTCGTGACTGTAATGGCATTTATCAAACTTATTTCATACTTGCATATTTGAGCACATTACTGCAAAACTTCGCGAATACGTTTACCGAGTGATGTCTGATATGACCGTTAGAATTGTTAAACGTCAACATTGCAATCGTGGCTAAAATCTACCGAAAACATCCGATAGTTCCTAAACCCAAAATGGTTCGAGTCCGTGACTACCAAAGCTGACCGATATATCATTATACAGGGGTATACTATACTATGGCCAAATTTAATAGCTTTTTAAATATTTGATAATATATTCCTTTTGAAAAATGTTGTTCGCGATTTGATACTATGGTTTAATTTTTTAAGTTAATACAGCTAGTCAGTATTATACAGGATTTCTCTAATATTGCAGAGAAATGAAGAAATTGAATGAATGAAGGTCCTATACGTATCTGTCTTTGTTTCCGACATTTTAATTATACAGCGGTAACAGTTATTTACACTAATACATATTTTACTATAAAAAGAGTTTGAACAACTTGACCAGTGCTATGTGTAGCCCATACCCATCGCAGCTATAAAAAAAACTTGCGTGTTACTGATTTTTTTTTTCATAGCGAACAAGAAACAAGGATTTTTGTGCCTGTTAAAAGCTACCTCTTGAATGTTTGTCGATTAAATTACTAAATATTTATTGAAAACTTATAAAAACTAAAAAAAAAATTAGTTTCTAACACTTTGACAAGTTAATGACAATGACAAATATCAGATTTTTTTTAGGATTAGGTTTGAATTCATAGAGATAAATAAGAAAGAGATGGAAATCAACAAACGATCACGCTTTAAAAAGGCACTAAACAGTCTTATTAATTTTGCTATCAAGGAAAAAAGTCAGTGGCAGGTTTTCTTTTTTAGAAAAGTATTGCAGGGATAGGTCATACCCGCGGCAGTGGTCAAGTTGTCCAAACTCTTTTTGCAGTAAATCATGTACTAATTTAAATAACATTTCCGTTGTACATAGACTGCAAACTTCCGTAAAAAATGGTAGTTATATTGCATTAATAAACGAAGACAGATCTTTGTTTAATACAGGAATAATTACTAATTAAAGTTTACATTTTTGCATAAAATAGCAATAAAGCAAATCAATATCTCGGAAGCCGGTAACGGTTTCCAAGATATCAACCGCAGTCGCGCTATTGGGACACTCTGTATAAGTGAAAATATGAACGTTTTCTTTTCAATTTTATTACCTTATCGCTCATACACAATTTGGGTAATCGATAAAAAAAATACAGTTGATATTCACTCTTAACATGCATATTTTGTCACAGCCTCGAGGTGCTGGTGGGGAAAGCTTTCAAAGATTGCAAAGCTTAGCGAAAATTGCATCCTAGGATAATCTGCTACTATTTTATTCCCGCACTGATATTGATATACAATATTTTGCCTCTTGCGCGTTTGATGCAATTTTTCCGAAACCTATAATCATCGAAATGAAAGGGCTCAGCTAAGAAACCGCAATAATTTATTAATAGATCTCCCAGTGGCGCACAATTGAAGTTAGCAATTTTCGTAGATATTATCAAGGAGACAGTGTAAAATTGGGTTACACATTTGAGAGGTCTAAATGGCGATAACAACGAATTAAAATAATTAAATCAACACCGCAAATTGTTTAACTGTTTAAAGGGTGTTAAACCTACATGGGAGCTAAAACATTGATGTTTCTATTATACTCCGCCCATGATCCGGAGTTTGGAAAGCCTTGCCAACTTTCAAAGTTTTTTTTGAAGCCCGTTAATTATTGGCTACGTATTCACAAAGCGCGGACATGCATAAATAAAATGGAAGGTTCTGAATTACGTGACAGATGGAAAATGTCTGCCGACAGAGATATGTTCAAAGTGGCCAAAATTTTGATGATCTCCGGGGGTACATGGAAACTCAAAATGACCAAATCTAAACGATTGCAGTTCTTCTATTCGTTATATTCGGTAGTGGTTCAAGTTTTATACGCTTCGGGTCCGCCTTCGCTTTTGATTTCGTTAGTTTATTTGTTCCAAACAGATATCGCAAAAGGTGGGTATGACAAACATTAATTTTTATGGTATATGTTGAAGTTGTGACCCAATCAACCTCTAGTTAGCAATTACTTGTTTCCAAGTCGACGTATATTTGTTATCTACATGAGGAGATGGACAACTAAATAAAAAAACATAAACCAATAAATAACATGCATAAAATTCATAAACCAATACATTCAATAAAAAAAATAAGTCCAATAAAAAAATATAAAAACACGAAGGAATAATAAGGAAATGCTAAATCAGGTATCAAATATTGGTGAATCATGACGATGCTGGTTCAACTAGAGTTGACAATGACGATTTTTTTGTGGAATATTAGGTCCGAGTTCAAATTTATTGGCTCCCTTGTTTATTAAATGGGTTTGTGTTGGACTAGTTGTGGTAAGGTAGATCAATCACTTAGACAATCGCTTAGATACGCGTTCTTGGAGGCACTCAATCCACCAATGATATTTATAGAAAGTGATCTGTGGAACGAATCAGTCCATGTTGATAATTTAGAATCATCAAACTAACACAGTATTGCGGTTTAGGTCTTTGACTTGATAAACCATGTATTACTTTGAGGTAGCAATTACTAGATACCAATTTTAGAAACAATATAGGCAATCAACAATAATGATTTAGTTTTCAAGCAATAAAGTAACAGTTTAATGCAGAAAATCTGATAAAATGTTGCATGTTATTTATATACTACTTGTTGACAGATCGGATTAAATTTAATTGCATTTTGCATTTTGAAAAATGTTTCTGAAATTTCACTGGAAAGTGATTCAGAGAATTGTATAAATCAAATCATATGGGCTCCTCAGAATAAACAAAATTGGACGACTTTTTTTAGAAAATCTCTTTATTGAAAAATGTTATCTATTGACTCGAAGCTAACACGTTAAAGTGGCAAGTTTCATTGATAGAGCTTGGGTATTTTAGGGTGAGTAAGATAAACGAGAATAATGCAGGTAGCAATGAAATTATTATACAAACTTTTAAAAACTAAGAGATATCTGAGGTGAGTATGTTAATCACTTCGATCACAACTTCTCCTAATTATTATAAAGCGAAGCACCAGCGTTGTTGAAAACCATATGCAGCCTGTAAGTTTTCGTGGAAAAAATGCGGCTCAACCAAATAAGGGGTTGGGTTGCTTTCTTTCAGTCCATTCATGTATTGAAATACATTTCTGAGACTAAAACACTTCAGCAGATCTTATTTGCAACTCATTGAAAAGAAATTCATTTCAGATCGCAGCACCACATACCGATTCCTAACCAAAAAAGAAACAGCAAAACCGACTTTTGGAAAAATTGGAGTATTTAAACTTTTATGTAACATCACATAACATGTGTTTGTTTTTCACTTTGTACCTGCGGAATAGTAGAGATTTGAGACAACTTAATTTAGGCTATTTGTCCCAATGCGTTGCGTTCCATCTATTTAACTGACTTCGTAACCGCTACGGCTAAGCACACTGTACACATAATTATTGAATTCAGTGATACATTTGTGATTTTCGCCTTTTAGCCATCGAAAATATATCCAGACTAATTGTGGTCACCTTGCAAGTACTTAAAGTGTTACTGTGTCAATCGGAAGGGGTTGTCCGAATATTTTCTAGTGCCGTTCGAGAACAAGTTGATATTTACCGTCAACGCGATGGAGTTATATGCAAAATTTACCGCGATCACGTAAACTACTGCAAGTGGACGACAACGCCTGTTGCCGTTTTGTTCCTCCTGTCGGGGATGTTTCTCTCGGAAATAGGTAAAACTTTTCCTGTGGCTGCGAACGTAATTAATTAGATAGTGGCATTTAAGGAATCGAGACTACCTACAAGTTCGAGCAATTGCAGCGTCGAAGCAACGAAACCCTGGAGCTGCCGTTGACCGTGCCATTTTGGTATCCGTTTGACCAGAACGAGCACCATCTCGCGGCACTACTTTTTCAAGTTTTCCAGTCCCAGTTCACTGCTTTATATTGTGCGGTGACCCAGGCCTATTATAATTCCATATTTATTTTTGTCAGGGCCCAATTAAAGATATTGCAACATAATTTTCGGAATTTTGATGACCGTTGCGAAGCGAGCGGCCAGATTTCCGAAAATTTTACGTTGACTGCTTTGAAAAAACTATGCCTAAAGCATCAAAATCTCATTAGGTATGGTTGAAAATAGGTATCGAAAATGTAACTGTCACACCGATCTGATATCTCTATTTTAACAGATTCGAAACAATAAAATATATAGAATTAGAAAAATGCTATTATCAAAACCTGCAAACTTTATTCTAAAGTCAGATATTTCCTTAAGTATCCGATAGGTGCGACATTTCCTTCGAGAACTAAGAAGTTCATAGATATTACATTCATACCAAGAAAAAATAATTACAATCACATGTCCCAAAACAATCCCCAAAACTTTTAACTTAGCCATAACCGTAATTCTCGGTAGGCATCTTAAATTTAAACATTATTAATGTGACAACCAGCCTTTACCTTCTGATGGTAAGAGATTTAGTAATTAGAATGGATATTTTAACTATTCCCCATAAATTATTTGCTATATCCAAATAATGCGCATTTTAACACTTTTGCAGAAAGCAGTAGTGGAAGTTTTTTTTTAACCGGTTTTTAAAAGATGGTCGATTAGTATCCAACAATAATGAAAAAATTTAGAAGATTCAAGAAATTACATTTTTACGATTGTAGCGTTCTCTATTAAAATAAATAAATAAATAATACATTTCGCGTTTTTGGACGGTTTCATCTATCTGATTACCGATTTTCATTCAGATTTTTTCTGAAGAATCGATACGACATAAATAGAACAAAAAGTTACTACTTACCTAACTTTAAAAATCATGTTTAATTGGAACATAATATGCCAAAAAGGAATCATAATTAAAATATTAAAATTTCAGATCTGTAGAGGAATTAAATGATTCGTTAAAGTCAATTATGCTTTTGGAGTACAGTGTGACGTCGATACTCCTCGCAGCTTTGTTGTTCCAGATTATGGCGGTAATTTCGAAGTTTAAAGTTATAGAATTAAAATACCATTAAAAGTTTCAATTAAATGGACGTTATTTTATGATACTTAATGAGGAACCATTTTAGCAAATTGGAGTCGCATTCAATATTTTCGTCTTCTTTATTCTGTCATGTCAACTGATGGCAATGGCTTGGAATTGCAATGAGATAATAATTCAGGTACCAAATATTTAAAATTTAAATTTCGAATTTTACAATTATGTTCTAGAGCACGGGTCTGGCTTCTGCTCTTTACGAAAGCAGATGGTATGAGCACAGTCAACAAGTGAAGCGTATTGTTCAAGTAATGGTACTTCGCTGTCAGATGCCCTTAAATTTGACGATAGGCCCTTTCGGACCCATGACTGCAAATGATGGACTTTCGGTAAGTCATGAATGCTTAGCTAAACATTTACGATTTTTTGTGTTCTATGGGCGACGAAAAATTTTTCTACTTACTCTACTGCCAATCGATTTGCCATCGACGAGGAAGAACAGCGGAGAGTTTAGCCAGAAGTTCACATATTATAAATGCTTGTTTTATATTTTGTTTTTCAATGAAGATTTTAAATGTTATTTTTGTTCCAGCGTCTAAAACTGGCTTACTCATTTGTCTCCGTTATGTCTTCTTAATTTCGAAAACTCAGGATTGAATTTTGAAGGACACTTTAAAATTTTTCACATTTTCCTTTTTGTGGTGTAGTAAAATAGTTTCCAACGAAGAATTGGTGTGTTTCATTTCCAATTTCCTATTCGATGACATTCTTTTATCGCAATCTGATAGTTGTTTTTGGACAAAGAACAGGAAAATAATGTTTCAACCAATATATGTTGGCAACGTATTTTTTAGAATGAGTTGCCTCAATGGGATTTATCCAGACTTCCTCAATCATTTCATCCACCGATTCTAGGAAACTGAATTATGACGTTCACATTTATATGTGTGTTTATCGATGTTCGCACGGAAATAGACTAGGGAGGTCCAAGGAAAGAAAATTATGAGAAAACGTTAAGCTCACTTTTGAACTTAGTAATTGTTTTTATCTATCAGTTGCTTGCTCTATGTAGCGGGGCGGTGAGGGGGAGTGATTGAAGACGTTGACGTTGACTTGTCGACAAACTTTTCTACTACTATATAAGTTTTAGTGTAATGTCCAGTCACAGCAATTGTGCAATTGCGTCATAGCATGACATCTTTATCTAGTACATTACTGAATGTCGTATCAAAAGCCTTATCAAGCCCTTATTTTAAAACTTGTGGATTATTAGAGAAAAATATGCGCGAAACCACTTTTACCCTTCAACGCTGTATATCTACAATGTAAGTATTTTTTGGCTCCATACTTGAAAACATCTTATTTTTATTAACGAGCAATTTAAGTTTTTGAAAATTATTAATTACATAGGTGTTTATTATTGTAGTACATTATTGATGTGTTAGATATTTCTCTAAGATCGGTGCATAAGCTTGTTTCTGGAGGCATCAAAACCGATCATTAACCTAAAGTTAAAGTTCAGATCAAAATTTGCACGGAAGCGATTGTATTGATATTTCACATGGTTCATTGGTATTGGTATTAAAGGGGGGCGCCCTCGCGGGCGTCCAAACACTTAGGCCACCAGATGGGCCCGTTGTGCCCCCAGATCGCTCTAGAGGGCGTCCAGAATGCCGCCCCTCCTATAGAAGGTCAGCAACTCCTTTAGCTCAATACCGTGCACTGAGTCCGGATCGATCAGGGCCGTTCCGAAGACTCCAAATATTGCCCATGTCAAAGCAGGGCATTTGATGAGCAGACACATGGTCATTAACCGATGGATTATAACAGTTGAAATTTTGTTTAAAACATGCCACATTTTAATCCGGAAATATCAGAAGGAACAACTATGTATTGCTCATAAATGACTGACATCTTTTGAGAGAATACATGAAAAACCAGAATGATGCCTTTTGATTCAATGCAGTATTTTTGGACGAGACTTGCATATAGTAAAGGAGCATCTAGAAAAAACTGGCAAGACAATTCTCTACACACAATTCTAAAAAAATATGGCAAAAGAGTTCGCTGTATAATTTTACATGCTGGCTCTAAAATTGGCTTTTTGGAGTGCGTGTACAAGTTTTATTTTTAAATTGGGCTACTACCAAGATTCAAGAAACCCTGAAAATTTTGAAAGGTGATTTATATATTTTTTTACTTTAAAAGGTGGTTCAGTAAGCAGTTGTCGCCCTTCCTTAGTGAACCTTCATTAATAACAATGGACAATGCATCTTATCATTGCCGACTTGCTAAGCCAATACCTACTCAAAGTTGGATCAAACAGTTTCTCGTCGAGTGTCTGTAAAAAAGGATTATTCCATTTCAGCCAAGTTTAGTGAACGACCAGCTACGCGTGTTAGTAAAGCCACACACAAAACCCTTAAAAGTCACGCCAAGTATTTTTCATAATATAATCTTTTAAGAATGGACAAGTTAGCGTTGGAAAATGGCCATCGCGTCTTGCGGCTCTGTCCTTATGATTGCCAATTTAATGCGACAAAGATAGCTTGGTCAGTAAACGGTATTATGATGCCAAAATAGGTTCCATCAATCCCGCTGTATTACTGCATTTCGGAACTAAAGCGCTATGTAAAGTAAAATAATAATAATAGTTCCTATGGAGTATTCATAATACTGTGTTTCAGGTTTCATTCGAAAAATGGTGAACTATTGTAGGCACACAGACCGCCTGATAAATGAAGTTTGGGAAAAAGAAAGGTTAATCGACGCATCTAATATTCTACTAGTTGTTATCGATATGCATGAATCAGACTCAGAGGAAGATATCTTTTCGGTCGAAGACTAGTTTCTTTTTCTTTCTTTTTTTTTGCGTTGCTGATTTTCGTTGTTTTTGTTGTTAAAACATTAAAATAAACCTATCTAATTGATATTTGTTTTCTCCCATATACTTGATGCGTTTTATTTTGTCCGTTTGCATAAATACGCCACTGAACACAGTTTCCATAATCTCATTGTAACAAAGTAATAATATGTACCTAAGTACATGGGATTTTCTGCGAATGACCGTTTTATGGCCATGTTTCTAGTAGGTTCTACCATTTATAACAAGATGACTAACGTACACTTTGCAAAAACCATTACAAAAAAAAATAAATTTAGTTATTAGGATTGCATATCCGAACGTGCCTACTTTAAACTTATGAACTAATTAAAATCGGAACTCATCTAAAAATGGTATTAATATAGCTAAGATATGCGGATCATCTTTGATTACGTCACTATAGGTGACACAACTACGTAACTGCTCTGACTGGAGTATGCCTACGTTTTGAAAAATATCGTGAATACATTGACCACCATGGCAGAATAATGGAAATGACCAATCTCAAAATACACTCTTTTAATCGCTCCCAACTTGCGGTAAGTCTGATCAGTGGGTATTTTAGAGTATGAATAGAAAAAAGGTTTTTTTCTTAAGAAATAACCCCAAATTGAACACTTGGCTGCCAAATATTAGACAAATCGCAACTACTCGTAAGCCTGCTTTCGGGAGAGTGGCTGAAGAGAGGAAGGTCACGTTGGTCTGAGTCCCGAGTCACACCGGTACCGGGGCAATGAGGCAGCGGACGTTTTAGCCAGGGAGGGCTCCTCGCAGAGGCATATGGGACCAGAGCCCCGCTTGGGGATCGCCGCGTGTGTGAGGCGGGGAGCTCTCGAAGCCTGGGCGAGAGACCGGGCCGCGGTGGGCTGGAGAGTTGCTCCGGGAATGAGGCAGGCGGGGCTTATGATGGATGGGCTCGCTCTCCCTCGGACCAGGGAGCTGCTTAGACTGACCAGAAGGGAGTGTACACAGGTGTGTACAGGGGCCTACACATTGCAGGCTTAGGAGGCAACTTTGCTCGCTACGCATTGGAGACGACTCGGTGCAGGTGGTGCATGGAAGAGGAGGAGACATCTGCCCACCGAGTGCCCTGCTTTGACATGGGCAAGATTGGGAGTCTTCGGAACGGGCCTGATCGATCCGGACTCAGTGCACGGTATTGGGCTAAAGGAGTTGCTGACCTTCTATAGGAGGGGCGGCATTCTGGATGCCCTCTAGAGCGGTCTGGGGGCACAACGGGTCCATCTGGTGGCCTAAGTCCTTGGACGCCGGCGAGGGCGCCCCCCTTTAATATCAATACCAATACCAATAAGCCTGCTTTCGAACTGAGACCGCGATATGAAGTTTTAACACCTAATCTAGTTTGATCTTCATTTTATTATGCATCTACTTCGAGCATTTTTTTGTCGGATTCCCATATCAGAAAAATGAAATGCGGGCAGAAAAAAGTTAGGCGATCTACGTATGAGTTTTATGCTTTTTGTAAGAGATATAGTTCAGGTTCGATGGTTCTAGCATTTTTAGCTAGCTTAATAGAAAAGTCTATTAAGGTGAGCGATGGTAACATAAGGTGGATCTTTAAAGTGGCAGAAAGAAAGTAAAGGGACAGTGACCACATATAATTCGAACTGATCGATTGGGAAAACCAGTGAAATGTCAGGACAAGCCTACTGACGCGGGGAGTCCCAAAAAAAGCTACCTGAGAAATGAGATTCCTGAGACAGACTCAGTAGTCTGTACCTGTTTGTTCGCCAATAGATCACTACCCTCCAGTTTTTGCCACTCTCTTTTAATTAGGATGTCCATTTTGAAAAAATGCTCCAACTAAATTCAAAGTAAAAACTCCGAACTTTTTGAACGCCAAAGTTGTATTCGTTGAAAGAAACTTCAAGAGGATACTGTAATACTAGTTACAAATTGTATGGATTCCTCCGTCGTCAGAGTTATGCCAATAATGGCGTTAGATTCTTCCCACTTTATTTGAAACTGAGAGATTTCTACGGATTCTCGAATTTTTCTTTCTTAGAAGAATTGATTACATTCAACAATTTTACTTTAGACGTATGGTTTGATGTTCGTTTTAATGGCCCCTTCAGGTTCATAGTTGATACTTTTGCGTCCTGTCTCTGCGATAAATTCTTTTCCACATATCCATGAAATGTTTTAAACTTCCGGAGTCCCAAAAGGAATTTTGTCTTTGGTGGATCAAAGATTTCTTAAGAACTTTTACTACGTGTCAGTAATGTTTGAAATGTAAGAAACTTATGTTTTGAAGAAGCCAACGGGATGATTGGAGAAACGTGAGCAAGCTCAATTAATAACCGACATAGAAGGAATCCAGAACATATGGAAAAATTAAGTACATATATTATCAGCAAAAACTAATTTATTTAGTAGTGCTATACTTGAAATTAAAACTGTGCAAGAATTTATCCTTTATATGCCCTGTTTTACGACCTACATAATTTGTATGCTTGTTCGCAAAAAGTTGTGGTGTGTTTCAGATAATTCGATTTGCTGTCTCTCTGTTTGCGGCCTTGATATATGAATCGCTGTTTCCAGTTAAAATCTGAGAACGTTTTTCAACGACCCTCACCAGCTGTAGAAGAATGCAAATAGCGTTCAAAGATGTACCCAAAAATATAATACCCATGGACCCCATAGTGGTAGTAAATGGGAAAAGTTTTCTTATCTACTAGTTTTTGTTGGCACACACTACACAATCTGTTGCTGGGATTGCTTTGACCTGCCTTTTTGAAATTAAAAGAGAGAGGTTGAATTTAAGGCCATGTCAAAAGTTAGTGACTCAGGATCAATGGGAAACTTAAACCGTACTCGAGACGAAATCGAGAGATGCAATTGTATGTATACTGTTCCCAATATTGTGCTAAATTTAATAGCTTTGTACATTTTTCAGCGCCGCCATTTTGGATTCTGGAATCAGAATCCTTGACATTAAGTTATAGTTATTGACTAATACTGTGCGAAATAGAAAAAATATACCCTTATTGCAGCATTATTTTACGAACATCATCAAACTCGTTTCATTTGAAGGAGCATCTTCTACGCGGAAAACTTTTTCCAGAGACAGTGACGAAGTTGTTTTTGCACTATAGAAATAAAATTTTAGTAATAAAATTAATATGCGCATTATTACATAAGTGAAAACTGTAACTCGGAAGTTTAATTTTCAATTTTAAAACACAATAGAGTGTGCACTACTTGCATAATCGGTAAGCAGACAAATTCATTTTATATTCACCTTTCACATGCAACAAATATTTTGTCAAAGCCTAGTGGTGGAGGGGAAACTGTCAGAGATTACAAAGCTTAGCGAAAATTGCAAGGTAGGATAATCTGCTACTATAATATTCCCGTACTGATACTGATATAACATTTTGCCTCTGCGCGTTTGATGCAATTTTTACGAAACCAATAATCATTTAAATGAAAGGGTTCAGCTAAGAAACCGCAATATTTTATTGATATATAACCCAGTGGCGCACAATAATTTTCGTAGATATTGTCAACTAGACAATATAAAATTGGTGTGTATTTTACACAATACAAACAGCATTAATGCAAATTAAATTAATTAAATCAACGCCGCAGCCGGATAAAATACTTAACGACCGTTAAATGAAAATAAGCGCTAAAAAATTAGCGTTTCAGTTACACTCCACCTATGCTACGGGGTTAAAAAAGGTAATTCCAACTCCTGTGAAAGTTTTTTCGATAAACGCTAATTGTTACTTATGTATTACGAAGCACGGACATTCATAAATAAAAAGGAAAGTTGTGAATTACGTGACAGATGGAAAATGTCTGCCGACCGAGATATGTTCAAGGTGGCCAAGATTTTAATGATCACCGGAGGTATATGGAAACTCAAAATGACCAAATCGAATCTATTGCAGTTCATATATGCGGTATATTCGGGAGTAGTTCAAGTTTTATACGCTTCAGGTCCTGTGTCGCTTTTGATTTCATTATTTTATTTGTTTCAAACGGATATCGCTAAAGGTAGGTATGAAAAACAATTTAATTTGTAGACTTCAAAGGGATTTTTTTTTGAAAATATTGAATTAAATTACATCTTTAAATAAAGGAAAAAGTATTAATTAAATCGGTAAGTCATAGAGATTGATAGTGTTCGCAAAGCGTAAATCCATGTTCACATTTCGTAGAACAACAGACGGCAATGTTAGTGCTTCTTGTAAAATATTAGAACCGAGTTTGAATTTGTTGGCCTTCTTGTATATTTAATGGGCTTGTGTTGGGCTAATCTTGATCACGTATCTACGCAAATTGACTGGTACAAGCGTTTTTGAAGGAACTTAATGCACCAGTAATATTCATAAAAAGTGATTTGTTGACTTGACAAATTGCCTTCTATTATTATGTATTCTCAATCTATCAATCGAATTTACATATAATTTGTGCAATCAACAGAGGCAACAATAATAATTTAATTTCTAATCAGTGAAGTAATAACAGATTTTTGCGCAGAATCTCATTATGTAGTTCTAATAAAATCTCATCTCTGGTTCAAATTTTTAATTATTGAACGGAATCTTTGACTCAAATTATTAAATGTCCGTGAGCCGTAATGTTCTGTGATTTAACAAAGCTTAAATGCATGTTCAAATTTCGTGGGAGTAAAGATGGCCATGGTATTTCCGAATAATTTCTCCATGATACGAGTTCAAATTTGTTAGCGGATAAGTGTTTCAAGATGCCGATTTTTAAACTAAAACGGTAGAATTTTAACCTCGAAATGGAGGAATGTAACCCATCAAGAATATTCAGAACGTGGATTTATTAATGCTTTGATACCTTTGAAGCACTAAGTTATTAAAGTATTGTGACTTAAGTAATCTTTGGCTGGCTAAACTAGCATCCATTATCAAGTGGTAGTAACCATAGGTAATAGATTTCGCGATTACCTGTTAAGTAAGTTTTAATGAAGGATTCTAATGTTCTCTCGGGGTAATACTAAGATATGTACCTAGTGCATAAGGTGACTTTTCATTTCAAAAATAAAATAAAAATAGCTGCCTGCAAGGCACAGATATATCCCAATACCATTTAATAGTGGGTTATAATATTTTTTCTACATATAATCGGTCGTAAGTTAGGTGCAGACATTGCTCTTTCTATACCTCCAATTCACGTTTGCTTTGATGTACCTTATCTTTTTTCTCAGTTGGATCAATTGCAATATTTGCTTAGAAATACGTTCTTTATCCATTCTTACGACGTGCTCATACTATTTTAGCTGTCGTTTCGGTATTTCTTCAATTATAATTGATTTTACTTTCACATAAATCTCTTTACCTCGTTTCTAATTCTTTCGAGCCTTGATGTGCCAGCCAATCTTCTCCAGTAATTAATCTAGTTGATCTGCCAGGTTTCGCATTCATCCAAGGTTATACTTAAGAAGACACTATTCGCGAGATATACATCTGAACCAAATGATGAAATTGAAGGATCCGATTACTAGTTTTGCTTTCATAATTTGATGTATATTTTTTTTATCTTTTCGTCATTGTTTATCAATTTTTGTCCCTAGGCTGATATATTCCTGACTTGCATTATTGGCCTCTTGTTGATCAAATTCCAGATCCTCTATTTCATCGCCCTTCGAAGATACTGAGTTTTGGTTTCATTGACCGATAGAGTCAATCTTCGTAATATTTGAATAGTCTTCTAGCCATAAACTTTAGATCCTGTTCCACTCGACGATCTCCTCTAAGTTCTCAGAAATTCCCTATATTTCAAAAATTGTGGGAAGGAGCTGGGACTCCTGTTTCGGGCTCAGAGTCTTTGTCATCTTGAATTTTGATGTTGAATTTTCATACAGTTGTTGGACAGTCCCTATTAATGGGAGATTTTTATAGTACACGAGAGAGTGTTTATATGGGCACAGTATCAGGCCTTTGTTAGGTTCATGAGTAGTAGGTATACTTCACTGTTTCTTTCTAATATTTGTTCATTTATCGGTACCACTTCAAAAATATGGTTTATACACTATCTGGCAGCGCGGAAGTCAGCCTGCTGTTCATTCTCTCGGAATCAATACTCCTCTATTATGTCAATTAGTATTTTTCCATATAAACGGCTCATGGTACCGGTGACCACAGTATCCCTTGGGCCTTTCTTTTTTATTCGTGTTATATAGGCCTCTTCTTATCTACTTGGTATGGTTTCTCAATTTAAGTATCTGATAAATAGTTCTCTAACGTGTTTGATTAGTTAAGCAGTTCCATTTTTCAGTAGTTCCACTAGCACTTCCTCGGACTGTATGGCCTTGCTTTAACTTACCCTAATTAAGTTCTGTGGACTGCCCATATACCTGGTATCTTATTGGTCACTGGAGAATCTTTCTCTACAATTTCCTAGTTCCTGAGAATAATGATGTTGCCAGTTATATATCTGGAGCTGAATGATACCCTTATTAGTGGTCTTATGAGGGTCTATTTTTCTCAATTTTCTTTCCCTAGTTTCGTTCTTATTTTTCAACCGTGCCTTTTTGTTCTTGATGGTTATCCATTTTTGTTGCGTTTTTAGTTCTTTTTGCCTCTAGCTCAGTATTCCAGGCCACGGTTTGGTTTTTTGTACTTTGCTTGCTTACTTGTCCTAGGACATGAAATGCTGATAAGTGTAGGGATTGTATGATATATTTGTATAGGTATTAAATTGTAGAATTTAAACAGTCATTTTTTAACTTGTTTATCTTCTTCGAAACAGTTTTTTGATATCATCATACATTATACCTGCATTGATCTACCTCAGTCCATTTCTTCCTTCTTGGTTTCGACCATTGATTTGATGTATCTATGTTGAAAGCAAATATTGGTCTGACGAGCAATCGATACCTCTATATACCCTAGTATCTTGGACTTTCAAATCTGTATTTTATTATCACGTAATCAATCAAGCTTTTAGGCCCTTTTGTCTTGATGGAATGTGTACTTGTACTGTACTGTATTGTACTGTATGTATATTTTTATGTTGGTAGAATGCGTTTAATATTTCGAGCTCATGTTACTCACATAGTTCTATCAATCTCTTACCGTTATTATTTACAATATTCTGGCTATATTATTTTAGTCAAATATCTTGTGCAGTTTAACCGTGGTTGGTACCTCCAAGGGCAGAGTAGTGAATATTGTTTATTATTATTATTATTATTATTTTTATTATTACAAAGAATAAAGTGCATAGGAAAACCTATTATGCACATTGATAGTTAGTAACATACATATAATAAATATTTAGTTATTGCTGTGAAATAATACACTGTCCAAGCGACGTTTAAATACTGACAATTTCAGTGCACACACAACATCTGGGGGTAAACTGTTCTAATAATCGAAAGTTATTAGAACAGTTACTTATAAAATGCAGGCGATGTGTCCTGAATTGTTCCTTCCTTATTTTAAATGGATGACCACGTAAGCGTTCATCATTGCTTAAGACCACAAGGGGCACGTCAGATGGAAATTGGTCATGCGTAAACCTATACATTTGAATGCAGCCGACGCTGACTTAATGTTGTTGTTAAGTATTTTGAGGCATATGGTGTATGTCTAAGCTGAAGTGGCCAGCGCGTAGCGGTTCGTTGCACTCTTTCCAGGACAGACTGGGGAAGCAAATTCCAGGATGGGGCGAATGTAAGTGGTGAAAAGCCTGCAGGCGATGCGAGGACTAGGATTTTTAAAAATCTGTTTTAACAAAAATAACGCGCAGTTTGCTTTCTTTGCAATATTTGATATATGTGCAGACCACGCAAGATCATTAGTTACTGTCCCACCTAGGTCCATCTGAGAATCAACACTTGACACAAAGTTTCCATTGATATAATAATTCAAACCGGCACTGTTCTTCAGCGGCACTAGCCAAGTTGAACACCACTTATTTAAGTCTCTTTGCATTACGTCCGCATGTGTTGAAGGATCTCCAAATAATTTAATGTCATCAGCATAAGCGCTCACATGAGAATCAATGCTGGAGAGCAAATCCACGGTGTACACTAAGAATAGCACTGGTCCCAGCACCGATCCCTGGGGAACACCACTAGGCACGTTTTGTGGCAGTGAAAAAGCGTTACCAATTCGAACTCTGAACGACCGGTGGCTTAAGAACGCCGCTATCCGCTCTAGCAGTTTACCCCCCACTCCAACCTTTTCAAGTTTGAATAACAAGCGTCGATGTAGCACTTTGTCGAAAGCTTTGCTGAGGTCGAGGTAAATAATATCCACCGGATCACCTGAGTCAAGAGATGATGTCCAGTGATTCAAGCATGTCATTGTATTTGATATGACAGATCTGCCGGGAACAAAGCCATGCTGCGATGTAGGTATAATATGGCAGTCGATCAAAAACGGTAGCAGCTGTTTTACTATAAGGCGTTCAAGAACCTTACATATAATACACACTAGGCTGATAGGGCGGTAACTTGAAACATCGAGCTTATCACCCTTTTTGTAAATCGGTGTTACATTTGCGGATAACCAGTGGGTTGGGAGTGTGGCAGAGTCCAAAGATTTTCTCAAAATAATATAAATAGGCTCTGTAAGCACAGGGGCGCACGCTTTTAAGATTTTACTGGAAATTCCATCAGGTCCAAAAGAAGTCAGAAAGAGTTTTCTTCACGTCCTCTTGGTCAAAGTGAATGTCTTCTAATAAATCTGAATTTATAGGACCCTCATAGTGAGACGGTAGATTAACTGGTTCATCAGCAAAGACACTAGCAAAATACGAAGCAAATTCATTTAAAACGAAGTCCTGGTTATAAAAGACCTCTGTCGAGGCAACTCTAATGACAGGAAGGGATACCTGTTGTCTGACATAAGAATAAAACGCTTTGGAGCTCTGTGGCATAGATTTAAGGCCTCTGGCTCTGCTTCCGATTATGCTTTACACAGAAGAGTTTCTAATAGTTTATCTTTGGAGATAAACTATTAGAAACTCTTCTATGCAAAGCATAACCGGAAGCAGAGCCAGAGGCCTTAAATCTATGCCACAGAGCTCTCTTATGTTTTATTTGTTTGAACAGATGTCCTGTTAACCAAGGTTTCTCAGAATTGAACTTCACAAAATGAGTTATGGAGCTTTTGCCTATGTAATAATGAAGAGTAGACAGAAAATATGTCCACGCATCATTAACGTCGTTATCAGGATCTCGAACCGATGATATATCATTGTTGAAAATATAAAGTACAAATATAAACTGTTCTTTATAAGTTTATTGCAGTTAATTCTAAGTAAGTCTCAAATTAATAAAAAAAACAAGCATATGATTATTCTTTTACATATGTTTTATTTAGTAATAAAAAATGAATAAATGAATTGGAGAGTGTACGGTTTCAATGATGATCAACTTTTGTACACAATTTGTAATCATCTTCTTCTTTTAGCCATCGAAAATATATCTAGGCTAATTGTGGTGAGTTTGCAAGTACTTAAAATATTACTTTGTCAATCGGAAGGCGTTGTTCGACTTTTTTCACGCGCGGTTCGGGAACAAGTTGACGTTTACCGTCACCGCGATGGAGTTGTACGCAAAGTTTACCAAGACCACGTAAAATACTGCAAATGGACGACAGCGCCTGTTGCTGTTCTATTCCTCATATGCGGGTTATCTCAATCGGGAATAGGTATAATTCTGCTACCTGCTGCGGTTGCACTCGAGTACAAAGTGGCATTTAAGGAATCTGGACCAATTTCAACTTCGAACAATTGCAGCGTCAAAGCAACGAGACCCTGGAGCTGCCGTTGGCTGTGCCATTTTGGTATCCGTTTGACAAAAACAAGCACCATCTCCTGGCACTACTTTTTCAAGTGTTCCAGTCCCAGTTTACGTCCTTTTATTGTGCGGGGACCCAGGCCTACTACAATTCCATATTTATTTTCGTGAGGGCTCAGTTGAAGATATTGCAGTATAATTTTAGAAATTTCGATGATCGTTCCGAAGCGAACCGCCAGATTTCGGAAGACTTTACTTTGACGGCGTTGAAAAAATTATGCGAGAAACATCAAGAACTTATTAGGTACGATTTACATATTTCACATATTTTATTTTTTTATATCAGGACTTTAACAGTAAACAGTAATTTTACAAAAAAAAAAGATCAACAAAAGCCAATTTTCGGAATGTTTGTATTTATGTTTCTGGAAATGAAATAAAATTCACACTAATAAAACTAATTTTAAGAACAACAGTCTCCAAGACTTAAGTGTTTTTAACTCTACCACCATTAGCGCACACATTTTTAAAACTTGGTATTATTTTAAAATATCGCTAGATGAAAAGAAAATGCAGGCCATTTTACTTGTTACTATTAAAAAGTTAATAAAACTCTCTAATGACTTCCCGTAAAGTCCGTTCATATATGGTTCTTTAATTTAAAAAAAAATTGTGCCAAACTAAGAATAACATTTATACAGTGTCACCGCTAAAGTCCGCATCAATATATTTGTCAAAATTGACATTTTTTGTAAAAAATATTAAAACGTTAGGTTATGTTTTAAAATCTTAAAGTTTAAAGAAAATTTTCAAATAGCTATCATCAAAAACCTTAGCGTTCTTTCCAAAAAATGGACATTTTTGCAAATAAAAGAGTTATGAGGAAATATTAAAAATATTGGAAATGAGCTTATCAACATAAGCTTTTCGTATTTGAACTTTTCTCAAAAATCAAGCTCGGAACACCCTCACTTATTTTTCGATATATATGCAACAATCCTACTAATTATCAAATCTGATCGAAATTGGTCCACCCTGTACACTGTTCCGCGGCACATCAGTCATCATCATCATCATTAGCTTCATCATAATGTCCCCAGAGACTTTAGTTCTCCATTGTCAACGTCAGACTAGCTCCAACTTGATTATCTCCAACCATTATGATCTTTAAAACAAAACTAATTTTAACTTTTTTTTTGTACCTATTCATAATTTTATGTTGTTGTGAAACATTTTGCCTTGTCCTCCCATTTAACTATTTATCTTTTTTTCAGTAGCATCAGTGGTTTTCTTAGCATTGGGGGGGCTTTACAAGAGCAGCCTAGTTGAATTTGAATTTAATTAAATAAATATATTATTATTTCTTTGATTATTTGTTTACCACGTATATATTTGTTTTGGTATATATTAAGAAATTTATTTTTAAGAGTTTTGCTTATTTCCGCGTAATTTCAAGGAATTACAAGCTATTTGCGATTTCAACAATGGAAACGTTTCAAATTTATATTCAATTGTATGATTCTAAAGGGCAAAAACTTTTGAAAAAAGTAGTGGCGTACTATTCTTTTTAAATGGTTATACTAGTTAATAGATAGATAGATAGATAATCGTTATAAAAGTTTATCATCCCTTTATCCCGAAAACCCGTAAGATTTTGTTGACCTATATTAGTTCTTTTTTGATTATTTTAAAAGTAATATCGACCATACCGTATACGAAACACATTCTCGTCGCAAAGTGCAAAAAATTGGAATATGTAACGGTTGTATGTATGTTTCATTAGTTAGCCCATTTTTGAGACATCTTCCAGGCAGACTAAGGACTTAGGCTAGGACATAACTTAACTTTCGAAATAAAGTTTGCTTACTTTGCCTTCTTCTGTAGGAAGTCATTTCAAATCAAATTCTTTTCCGATGAAAAGTGATGAAACATAATGTTTTGGACTTTTGGAATTCCATTATTTACTTTCACAAAGTCAAGTATCTCCAGTAGGAACAATCCTGTGTGACTGACTACTGACTCGACTTATGGATATAACATGAGGTGGACAGAAGCTAAACTCACCGGCAAGAAACGACACTGGAACAGGAAAAGAAAAGAGGCACTCTCACTCTTTAGATGTTTGGAAAGCGTGGAAACTATTTTTATTAAATAATAAAAACAATGAAAGTCCTAAATATCCCATGATTTTAATGTTGATCATTGTCTACGACCTTTAAACAAGATCAATCCAAAATTCAAATCCAAAAAAAATCAGACCAAATTAGGTTGGTTAGAAGTTTTTTACGAACTTGTGGCAACCTATGGGAATAAATTATTCCAAATTTTAGATCGGTAGAGGAATTAAATGATTCCCTCAAGTCCATTATGCTCCTGGAATACAGCGTGGCGTCCGTACTCCTCGCCGCTTTATTGTTCCAGGTTATGGCGGTAATTTCGCAGTTTTAGCTTATATAATTAAACATACATATTGCCTTAAGAGATTAATTAATGGAGAACCATTTTAGAACATTGGCGTTGAATTCAACATCTACGTCTTCTTTATTCTATCATGCCAACTGATGGCAATGGCTTGGAACTGTAATGAGATAATAATTCAGGTACTCGAAAAATATTATTGATTTCATTCTCGATTCTTCAATTTTGTTCTAGAGCACGGGTCTGGCTTCAGCTCTTTATGAGAGCAGATGGTATCAACATAGTCAACAAGTGAAAGTCATTGTTCACCTAATGCTAGTTCGATGTCAGAAGCCGTTAAATTTGACTATTGGCCCTTTCGGACCGATGACTGCAAATGATGGAGTCTCGGTATGCTATTAAGTATTCCTAACCTTTATCAACCTTAGTTTTCCACAAACGAAGAAAAACGAAGATTTTAGTTAATGGGTTATTTTAACGAAAACCTTCCGGCTTTTCTGCTGCTTTGAAAGTTGTTGAAATGTTTTATTTGTTTCAGCGTTTAAAACTGGCATACTCATTTGTCTCCGTCATGTCTTCTTAATACCAGGAGTTCAGGGTCTAACTGTAAAATGGACTAATAACAAAATTCCTCACATTTTACTTGTGTAAGCAATGAGTTATTAAAGTAGTTACAAACGGTGAACTTGTTTCATTTCATAGGTATATTCCATTCCAAAAACACCCTCCGCTGGAGATTCGTCATTCAAAACAAAAGAAAAAATTTCATAGAAATGTTATATATTATAAATATAACTAAATATTATTATAAAAAGACGTTTTCGTCGGTGTCTATAATTTTATTTCTTGTCTCAAAAACGAGAAAAAAGATTCGAAAAAAATTCAAGAATCTAGTACTTTTAGTAGCATATTCAAAGTAAATAACAAAAATTGGAAAAAAAACCGGAATACACATCTTTGACAATGCCATTTGTTAAGCCGCTGTAGCATCGACGATTTAAGAAACCAGGAAGGTCTAACGAAAAACGCACCAACCAAGAGGCCCAACAAAATTCTCTACGTCAAGCAGACCAACCCTTCAAATTGATATTCAATTACTTAACACTGCTCTAAAAACCATATTGCTTAAAATGAAAAAATCATTATTTAAAATTGGAACAGATTGAAACCCTGAACTTCAGCTTTCGTATAATATGATTTATGATATAATATGTTAACCATTTCCAACAGTTTTGCTGCTTGCTCTTCTGAATATAGCTTTACTACCATTACATTTTTATATGTTTATGGACCTTATACTAGAAGAAAATTACAATATAGTCGATATATCTAGGTAAATAGTTGAAATTCCTAACTATTACTAAAATTACTGAAAATGTTTCCTCTAGAAATTAATTTCTGGATATAAAAACTATGAGAAATTCCATTAAATTCCTCCATTTAACGAGTAATTGCTGTTGCTTAAATCTCATCATAGTTGCTGCTGCTGCTGCTATATTGCTAGATTGCTATAGTTGGAAATAAGGTAGCTCCCGAACATGGTGGAGTGAATGTTTTTACTATACAAAGAACTATAAAACATGAAACGTAAGAATCATACCATCACGTCAGTAATTGGTTAATCTAGTAACTCATAACTAGATCTGTTTTGGAGACATAAATTAATATTTATTTGATATAAATGAGTATAGCTTATACTTATATCTCTTAGATTCGTTGGAGCTGGAGTAGATCATCGATGGACCGATGGTATGACGTTAATAGATCAAGTGAGAATAATTCCCTTGGCGTAATATGTTTGACTTTAATTCTGCTTTATTGACTATTAGATGGCCTTAGATAACGTGAAACACGAAACGTTGATGGAGAGACTACAGGTGATAGGCGTGACTGGCAAAGATATTAGAATAATTAAAGAAGTGTATTGGCAGCAGTCCGCTGAGATCCGTATTGATGGTGATCGGACAACCTTCAGCGTACTGAAGGGAGTTCTGCGGGGATGTGTACTATCGTGCATTCTGTTTAACATCATGGTTGAAAAAATCTGTCCGATGGCTTTGGACAGTGAGACACGACTTATAGAAATAAACGGCATGCCAATAAATAACATCCGCCATGCAGATGACACTACAATTCCGGCCAACAACCTTGAAGACCTCCAGATTCTGCCAAATAAACAAAACAAGTGCGGTGAACAACGAATCAACGTCGCAAAAACTAGAATCATAGTGCTCAGCAGACAATCATCTTAACATCAATGGAGAGAATATCGAAAGGGTCGCAAATTTTACTTATCTTGGCGCCTCCTTCAAAAAGTTAAGCGAAGAACTGGAGGAGCAAAAACAACGTTCTTCAAACTTAAGAATTTACTCCTGCCTAGAAATATGCCGCTACACACCAGGATATGGGTAATTCAGTCAGTATGGCCGGCGCAGAGACTTGATAACTTAAGGTAATAAACAGAATCTGGCATTTGAAATGTGTACACCCAGACAGGCAATTAATGCATAACGTAAAACAACGCAAAGTATCATATCTAGGACATATATTAAGAGGGCCTCAATACTCTATACCCAGGTTAGCCATAAAAAAAGACGAATGATCGCCACCGTGCGGGATAACACATAGCACCCGAAAAAAAAGAATTGAAAGTGACTTTCCTTAATGATAATATGAAACTTCTCCTGGATGTTTATGATCACTTTTAAAAGGAAACACATCCTAGATTATAGAAAATATTAAGTTTTTCATTAAATTTAGAAATAAAGCCAAATTTAAGAACAAAACAACTGAAAATCAAGCCCGTTATAAGGAGCTTAGAAATTTTCATAACAAAGTGATCCAGTATAATAAAAAAGAACATTTTAACAATTTTAAACCATGAAAACAGTAACAGTGTTTTGATAATCTCTAAAAAAATTTAACGTTATAAAAAAGTCAAAAAACAAGGGAATTAAGATTCCTGTCAGATCCAATTTCAAATTGAAATCATTAGTCGCCGATTAGTACAAGAACTCTCTCAACAGAACCGCAAATTGTACAATTTTTCGCTCAATTTAAGCGTTAAACGTCTTGCTTCTGAAGTATTTACAATCATAGGCAATATTCCTCTGCCATTAGAAAACGAATCAAAAAAATTGTGGTTACTTTTAGACACGAAACTTGGCTTTGAAAAACACATATCGAATTGTACACAGAGCTTGATTCAGCGCTGGTGCTGCTGTCTCTATTTCAAGATCATTTAAACGAAATACCCTGAATACCATTCAGGAAATATAAAAACGATTTAATGGAGTCTTTATTCCTCGTCACCAATCTGGTATATTGAATGCATCAGTTACGACCTGGCTAAACCTGCCCTGTTCCTTCAAAACGTAAAAAAATGTACTGGTCTTTTTAGGTATTACTTTCTTTAGAGAGGTAGGTTGAGGTCTTTCTTTTATTGCGGTACATGGAATTTTAGTTTAAACCATATACGAATTTCTCCTTGTCGAAATTACCGCGAAGAAAGTATACATATTATTATTTATTATTTCGGATAACTGTTCAACAAAGTTGATTAATTAATAAAAATGTAAAGCTTGTTTATCCACAAATAATGAACAATGATCAGACACAAACTTTTCTGAAAAAATGTTATCACCTCTGTTAAGCGAATATAAACAAAAGAGACTTATTAAAAATATGTATAATTTTCGACTATACTATACATAGTAACATACGCTTCAGTAATATTAATTTTAATTTTTTCCATCAAACCATGTTTAAAAACGACATTGCCGTTTGTTTATATTATATATTAAACAAACATTTCTTGCTTTTAACGAAATTGCTTACTATTTTCGAAAAAGAACTATTGAAAGCTTTTCCAAATATCAACTTCAAAAAGTTCTAGAGACTACACATCAGTCAGCATTTCAGCATTTTTCTAGATATAATAACTATCCGTTTTTCTATTAACTTAGGCAGTTTAAAGATAATTGCAGTTCCCCAATTACATATATTGGTGCATTACATATATTGTTTTGTTATTTATGAATTTAGCTCATTAAATGCATAAAATTGAAAGCAAGTGCATAAAAAATAGTTGATTTCCAAACTTTGGTAGCTATCTATCAGTTGCAGCAGGTAAACCAAATGCGAGAGAAATCGTATGAAGAAAAAAAATTGTTAGTTTCTTTTTGATAAATTTGACTTCTCTGCAGGATAACTGTTTGTCCTGTTCATAGAAAAAGCAATGGACTAATTCCAACATCGGCATCATGAATTGAAGATATGTAAGCGGACCATGGCACACGTTTTGAGCTTGCTAACACGATAATCATCCCACGCTGTTTGACAGCACACGACCGAACTTCCCTGCTTGGTATGCATTAAAAGTGTCTCCTTCCGTCTCCAGAACGAAAAGTTGCACCTGAAAACTTTCAAATTTATTACAAGACTAAAGTGGAGAGTGCATGTTCAAAGTTTATATTTGCAATAAGGTCCGTAATTACCGGGATTATTTGCATTTAAGACGGAACCGTGACTTTATGGTGCTCCCTTAAATTAAGTCGAAGTAATTTCCTCTATTTTTGTTTGAGTAGAAACTTTTTTAATGGCGGGTCGAAGACTAAAGGGGAGCAAAGGAAAACTAGGCGAGATTTGCAATTAAAACTGCCGCTAAATTTTGACACTGCAGGGATTTTCCGTTCTCTTGACGTTTAAGAACCGCCCTGTCATTTTAGTGGTAATTTATGCCGAGTGCAATTGGTTTCAGTGTATACTGCGGAGGGCTGTGAGGAGAGCAACATACAGATGTCCCAACGACAGTGTTCCTTATTTATTTATTTATATATTAATATGGTATTAGTGCCAAAATAATATTTATGGATTCCATACGGTACAATAAAGGTTTTATGTAATCACAATTTTTTGCTGGGTATGTCCTTTAATAGTTTTCGAGAAATTCCATTTTCCCTGCCGAGTAGGCAAGATATAAAAAAAGGGCGTTTGTGGCACCCTTTTCTAATCAAAAGTGTGGCTCAACCTTCAAACCAAGTAAATATATGAGTATGCATTCAACAGGGCACCTATATGAATATTTATTAAAATGTAATATAAATTAACGGTTTTTCTATTAGTATTATTTCGGAACAAAAACTTAAAGATGTGAAAAATTTGAAATTTCTCTACTATTGAATCTCTCAACCTCTCGTTTAGACGTGAGAATGTAAAATGGGTAAGGTTGATGAAGGGCTGAACTTTCTAAGAAAAGGCTGACAGTAAAATCATGTAGTGCACTTTCCTCTGCTAACAGGTATAACCACCAATCGTCTAATTTAATTGTCGTTATCGAACTTGATTTCAGACTCATTGTTATTTATCTATTTTTATAGTCGTATGTTGAACAAATGTTAAAAACAGGTCATCGGAATTTGTACATAGCTCAAAATTTGCAGAGTTTGGCCTTTATCATCACTGTGCTACATTTGACAAGGTCAACAGAGACAATTGATTTCGGTGATTCGCTTTCTCCGCATTTATATCACGACTATTTTACTTACTCAAAGAGATATAATTAAACGATGGCGGAATTGTCCAGCGCCTTCGCCAGATTATAGACATTTTTCCACCATTATGTGTTTTTGTTTA